GTTTCTATCCTTGGGCTGTGAGACATTTAAATACAACCACAATCATTCCATGCACATGCTAGGTTTCTTTTTCTTTTTCTTTCTTTTTTCGTTTCTGTTATAATTTTGCACCAGTGAGGTTAAAACCAATTTCGTTGTATTTAAATACAATGACAATAAAGATTATACTTATACATACTTATACTTATTATGTCACTATGGAGCACAGAATGCATGATTTATTGAACTAGCTTTATGGCTTCTTGAAAAATGCAGCAACAAGGGATTTCAAAAATAACTTGAGCGGGTATTACTTTTTAAAAAAAATGTATGTAGTAAGTCTTAAACTAGAAGAATGAGAGGAACTGATTGAGTTTGAGAAAGGAATACTGAAAATAAGTATTCCAATTTCTCCTTGATTTAATAGAAAAATTCAGTAATTCCTTTGGGCTTGCAGTTCAACTGTTTTCCCCAAATGAAAGAAATGAAGTAATTTATTCATCCCACCTCACCCATCTCTGGGAAAGACAAGTTCCAAAATGGTTTTTAAAATTGCATGTGCGCGTGATAAGAATATCCTAGTTTATGTATTTGTCCAAACAGGGGGAAATTTTTTTCTTTTGTTTTACAACTGTAAGGCTCATAAGACTTATACTCACCTTTACAATAGACTCAGAGCAGATACTTAGAACTTGGTGAAAAACTTTATTGTAAACCAGCACACTGATGCTCCTTTCATGGGACTGGGGAACTTGTTTCGTGTCTTGTATCATCCGAGTGAGAGGATAAATATCGATGACTGTCGATCCTGGGTATTACAGAATTGCATTAAATCTAGAAAATACTTACATTTTCATTTCAAATTTTTGATGCCACTCTGACCTCAAGCATGTTCTTGCTCCTGTATGTAGTTTGAAGGTATTATATGTCTGATCAAATTAAATTATTGCTAGATTTTCATGCACCACAATATTGCATTTACTCTTTCAAAAACTTGTTTCATGCACATATTCAAAAACCAAACCCTTAAATCTTATGCAAATGAAAATTAGAGATGATTTTTTTTCTTTGTCTATAGTCTATAGCAAGGACATGGAATATTTGACAGGCTGGAGGCCCCAGTTCTACTTGCTTTTTTCCTATTTTATGAATCGGAAAGCCCTTAGTGCTAAAAAGGGAAATCTTGTGGCTTGCAAACTGCAGGGAAAATCTCTCATGTTCAGCTAATGCAATAGAATGTGACAATGACACAGTGGCTGAATCCCAGTGGATTTCTGAAAGGTCTCGGAGCAGCAGGAAGGAAAATAGTGCAGGAGAAATCTTTTTATGAGCATGAGATGGCATTGTCGGGTTTCACAGCAGATTGGGCAATAAATCTCTGCAGAATTCAGCCTTGCATGCAGATATTTTAGGATACAAAAAGTGGAAATTCTGTCTCTGCACGCAAGTTTAAGCATAGAAAATGGGATACAAGCTATGTTGACTACATTTATGAGTCATTGACCAAATATAGCTGAGCTGGTCATCCAGAAAATGATGTTTTTCTGTTATGTGGACTGCCAGATAAAGAGAAAATGTAGGAAATACCAGTATCACATCTACAAAGTAAAGGCAGAATGGTCTTAATGTGGCCTTGCTTGTTTATGTACTAGATGTCCCCAGGAATGTCTACAGCAGGGGTGTCAAAATCAATTTCATTAAGGGTCGCATCAGGGTTGTGTTTGACCTCAGGGGCCAGGTGGGCATGGCCAGCTAGATTTAAGTTGTGTCAGGGGGCACCTGTGATGGCCTGAATGCTCTGCCAGTGGCCCTCCTGAGCTCCCTTTTTGTTGGCAAAGGGTTTCAGGGGATGCTGAGCTCAATTTTCACTGGCAGAGGCACTGTGGGCCAGTCCTTCACTGTTTCAAGGGCAACCCTGTGGACAGATCCGGCCTGCGGGCCTTGTGTATACAGCATGTCCACTTCAATATTTTGGGGACAGACTAAATACCTCTGATGAATTCGCTGATCTGCCATAGATGCATTAGCAGTAAGCACCTGAATCTGCAGTTATATTCCGTGGCATGAAAGCAACACCCTCAGTAATATCACCTTCTTTTATCTGTTTTAAATATCTTTTATTTGTCTTTAAAATATATATTTATTGTCTTCCAGTGTAGGCAGGGGTGAGTTGCTGCTAGTATTACTGCCGGTTCACTTCACTCGCGTGCACACCTGCCACGCATTGCTTGTGCATGCACAGTTATCTGTACATTGTTCTGTGCATGTGCAGAACATTATGAAATGACAAAAAACATGCTGGCAATGGCATGGGCAACCAGGGAACTGGTTCAGGGGCATGGCCAACCTGCCATCCCTACCGGTTCGGTGACCTAGTCACAATTGCTACTACCAGTTTGCCTGAACTGGTGCGAACCGGTAGTAACCCACCTCTGAGTTGTATGTATATTGATACATTCAATGTCCCCTTTACATGTCTTTTTCTAATTTCAAATTTTCATATGTTGCTTTCTTCATAGCAAAGTCACTAAAATTCTGTTAAATATCTTGATAACTCTTTAATGCCTCATGTCCAATAATACAATTGAAGTGTGATGACTCAAACTGTGCGCAAAAGCCCATCCTTATTTATACAATAGATTTCTAAAAAGTGTTACTTTAATACTTTTGAACAATTTCTCTGAACATTTGCACAAGTATCCACTATAAACAATTAACTGCACTGCAAGATCAGATAAACACAAACAATTGAATTAAATATAATCCCTTCAATGTTACAAATTACTAACAAATCCAAACACTGGCATTCTAAAATCTGCATTATTTATCATTTGTTATTTCACTTCAGTTAGCAGAGTCTTGCTGTAAGAATGGATTATTTTGCTACTGTTTATGAACTGGAAGCTTATGACCCAGAAATGAAATGTCAGCTCACAAAATATAATCACAAAGCTTCACATGGAGGAAGAGAAGGATTAGAAGGAAGAAATTGGCAGTTTTTTGAGATTCAGATGTTATTCACATGATTTCTTTCAAATGGACCCAACTGTCAACTTAGAGCACTACATTGCAAATCTTAAAACTTCAAAACAATAATAAAAAGTGAAGGAATTTTTTGCTGCAACATGACAGCACCAAGCCTCGTACCACACAAGCCACACTCTCTGTTATGCTCTATTCACCATACAGTCCAAATTCGGCACCATATGCCTTCCACCTTTCTCCAAAATTGAAACAATGCATTTGTGGAGTCTCTATTTGATTCAAGTGAAGTAGTGAAAAACTCTGTCAGGATCTCACTGAAGAGGAAAGGTATACAGTTGTTTTGTGATGTTTTTAAGAAACCTGTCCATTGTTGGAAGACAACTGTAGCAAATCAAGTGGAAAATGCAGATAGCAAGAGAGTTCATTTCAAGGATTATTTTCCTGTATCATAAAATATTCCTATTTAAAATAAAATTATGGAGGCATCACTTTTCATACATACTTGTTATCTTCTACAATTTTAGGCAAAATCCACTCTTAAGTGAACAGACTTCAAGTATGCAAATTAGTTTTTCTACCATTATTTCCTTCAACAATTGTTCATAGGCCTGAAAACTGCTTTGAAGGGCTTGAAAATGTTTTGAAGACTATTTTGGAAAGTTAAGTTCTCAAGACTGCAGAGCAGTTGGAGAAACTGATCTTTAAGTTAAAATATTATCTTCCATGATCAGAAAGATATTGTTGGTTCTGTTCCAGGATATCAGCAAGCCTGTTATAAAGCCACATATTTTTATCATACCCACCTGCAATAAGTGTTCCGTGGGTATTATCAAATACCATAGCAAAAATTTGTGACTCTCTGCGTGCCCCTTGAACGTCATGGAACACTTGCATCAATGAAAGCGTCTGGATATCCCACACTCTGAAAATCTAAAGGAATGACAAGAAATATGATGTGCGGTAAATAAGTGCCACAACAAAATGATCAAAATACTTCCCTGTGTAAAGCCTCAATATACAATATACAAACAAAATGAAAGAATGAGATATGCATATTAGTATTCTTCCTATTGTTTGCTTATCTTACCATACCATATGTATTATATGTATATTCTGCTACACACATTAGAACATACTCTATTTTATTCTCACGATTCTGTGAAAATGATCAGCCCAAATTCAATTAATTTCATCACCAAATTATGGAGCAAAACTAGATGTCCAGAGTGTAAGTTGAGCATTAACCATAGGTACATTGATTCCTTTTGTGTTAGAAAAGAATCCAAGCCCCCTGCCATTAAGACACTGCAGAATAGAATAGCATCAGACCATGAGTGTGTTCCTACCAGCAATGGTACCAGTTCACTTTGCGCGCACATGCAATGTGCATTGCTCGCTTTGCTCGCATATGTGCCAGATGTACATTGCTTGCGCATGCGCAGTTCACTCTAAACTTTTCTGCGCATGTGTGAAGACCATGAAAAGCTAATAAAAAACATGGCGGCAATGTCAGAAGAGACCGGGGAACTGATTCGGGGGCATGGCCAGCCTGGGCCGCTGCCGGTTCTGTGATCCAGGTCAAATTACCACTACTGGTTCACCCGAACCAGTGTGAACTGGTAGAAATCCACCTCTGCATCAGACACAACTTGACAAGACACATGGACCAGGATTATTATTTTTTACTGATCTGAGAGTACAATAAAGATTGACTGAGTGATCAGGATCACCATTCTCCACTTCTATGGAAGAGACCAGATCTAGTCTCATCAGGCAGAAGGAGACAGTCATCTCAGGTGGTGGATCAGGAAAAGTAGAGAATTAAAATATTGTGAGAAGCTAATTATTAACAACTAATTAACAAAGGAAAAATTAGTCCTGCTTCCAACCATCATAAACTGAGTCCCTGAGAAAGAGGAGGAATCCTGCTCAACGTTTATATTTTCCTGTTGGGCAGCAGCTGTGTGAGCTCAATAATGTTGAGAAGGGATATTCAGAAAAAGGTGAAAGCAACAAGACTATAGTATATTCTTCCTTTTTCTAAATGGAAAACTACTATCATTTTAAATTAAGATCTTAAAGCCCAGCATTCAATATCATCTGTAAAACACAAACCGTGATTAGTGAATGAACAATAGGGTCAACGTTGGACTTCAATGGAATTCACTCTTAAGTATATTGTATGTATTATTATCAAGTCAAAAATTTGATTCAGATCTTTTGAAATTAAGCATTTGGCACAATATTATAAACAGCAGGAATAGCACCTAGCCAATCTTGGCTTATCTTGAAAAAATGAAGCATAGCCTGATTTGGAGACTTTGTCTTTATTTTCTATTATTGAATCACAGACCAATTCCGAAGGCCTTGCTATAAAGTAGCATTTTGTTCTGCAGCATGTTACAGAAAATTTACATCAAAAAACATTCCACAAAGGCAAGTTTTCTACCTTCTACTTGGCTTTCTGTCCTCACTTTGGGATAAAGGTTGCCAATGACTTTTTCAAATATGAAGAATTCTAACCAAGGTTGCTGTGAGCATTGCTGGGAAATGCACATTGCCAGATGCTCAGTACCAGATTCTCTATCTCACTCTCTATGCATGATTGTATGAATTCAGACACGAGGATAGTTGGAAGGTTCCAGTAGATTTGTTTGGAACATTTGGAGATGACTACGATAAATTGCCGTAGAGAGCTTCTGCAGTATTCACGGCAACAAAACTCACTCTTTCGGTTCTGGGGAAAAAAACAGAATTTGCCCTGGGGCCCTACCAGAATCTGCAAAGAGAATCTACTATGCATGCTAGGAGTGCATGGGATATAAGGCAAGGAAGAGGTTTTTACTTTTAAAAGGCATTCTTAAAGAAGTATGATAAAACACATTAGTATATAGCAGGGATGGGTTCCTATGCAAACCGGTACCAGTTCGCTTTGCGCATGCTTTGCTGGCCACACATTGCTCACACATGTACAGTTCGCTGTGTATGGTTCTGTGCATGTGTGAAGACCATTAAAAGCTAATAAAAAATATGTCAGCAACAGCAACAGAAACCGGGGAACTAGTTCGGGGGCATGGCCATCATGGGTTGCTGCCGGTTCTGTGACCCAGGCCAGATTACCACTACCGGTTCAGCCGAACCAGGACAAACCGGGAGCAATCTACCTCTGGTATATAGCTAACTCATCATCATTTTATCTGAGGTTATAAACAATGAGCAAGAGCCAGTTTGGTGCAGTGGTTAAGACATCAGGATAGAAACCAGAACTCCATGAGTTCTAGTTCTGCTTTAGGTACAAAACCAACTGGGTGATCTTGGGCCAATCACTCCCTCTCAGCCTTAAGAAGCAGGCAATGGCAAATCACTTCTGAGAAAAGCCTTGCCAAGAAAACTGCAGGGACGTATCCAGGCAGCCTCTGAGAACTGGACATGATTGAATGGAAGAAAAGTTACTGCTTATTTCTGTCAAATTATCTAGATTTGTAGCTGAATTGTTTTAAGTCTTTTGACATAGCAATCCCTTTGCATATTAACTTAGACATAAGTGCCAATGTCTATAAGATTCTTCTTAGGCAGTGCAGGTATTCAAAACAAAGCATGAGATCTTGGCTCAGGGGAACCAGTGAGATGTGGGAAAAGAAAATCACATTATTATTTAAATCCTACAACTATGTAGTATTGCTGAGGGCAGAAAACCTTCATTATTCGCTCCAATAATTTCTGAGACCATCATACCAAATGTTCTCAATAAAATACAGTCCAAATTGCCACTAAAGTAGGAAGAGGCAATGTAAGACCCTGCAGATATAGCTTAATTACATCCCAAGCATCCCTGACAATTGGTTATTCTGACTTGATGCGGGGAATTGTTGCCCAAAAATATGTAGAATGCCTGTGGTAAAAATGAAGAGGTTGAAGCTAAACATACATAAATTGACAACCGTTGATATCTAATAAACTTGGATATGGAGTATAAAACAAGTATAGCAAATGTATTCCCCCCCCCCCAAAAGAACACTGAAATGAAGACAACTTAGGACAACAACTATTTAGTTGAAATAGCATCTTTAACTTTATGCATATTTCAACCAAAATTTTCATAGTTTCTACATTTGCTCAGCCTTGTAACTAAAGGTCTTTTTAGAGTTAAAGTTCTTTAAAATATTCAGGACTTCCCTTTGCCAAATGCAATAAATTAATAAATGCAAGGACTCTTCATCTTAATCCTGAGCTACAAACATTCTACTTTATTGGAGGAAGGATTATTAGGCTTGTTCACAATCTTGAGTTATTAAAAATAATATGGGATTAAAAAATATAAAACCATATTTCAAATATCTTAGAAATCTTTGTTAAACATTTTGATGAATGATAAGAGGAATTGTTGTTAAGATTTTCTTAGATATGAGACATTTGTAGCATCCTCTTAATATTGTCTGCATCTTGTCTTTTAGTTTAAAATTATGACTGATATAAATGATGCTGTACAAACAAATGGGTAATATGTATTTCAATGAATGGGAAAGTGGAATTACACTGCATCTATTTCAGATCTGGAACCTATAAGGAAAAAATAGTATTTTATCACTCATAACATTAAAAAGATCACTTTTGGCAGAGCAAATGGTTTTCACTAAGTCAAAGGTAATTCCATACCTTTGCAGTAGAAAGGGTGATAATGTGTTGATCCTTTTCATTGGTGACAATCTCTACAATACTAAATAAATGTCCCATCAATTTCCCCACTGGTTTGGTGTTGATGTTTGGATGCCATAAACGAATAATTTTGTCTTCTCCTGGAATTAAATGGATCATTTATTTTCTTATTTTATTTATAGACAGCAGTATCTCCCAGTTTTATGTCCTCCAGATGTGGAAGGCTTCACTACTAAATTACCAGTCAACATGCCTGAAGAGTAATAAATCTGGAAAACATCAGACTAGACCAGCCAGAAAGACCTAGGAGTAGAACTAGACCAGCCAGGAAGAAAATACAATGTTTTAATAATTCATGACTAGTATATATATTGAATGGTTCATAAGACTGACCAAGCCAATGATGAAATGAATACTTGTTTATTCTGTCTATATACTATATTGGACCAATATGTAACTATTTTCATATCTAATTAGAAAGTTAGAAAAGGTTTGCTATGATCAGTTTGAGTTATCCATCTATATGTGATGTATATATACAGTTGTTATAGCAGAGCATTCTAAAATAAGGACACTCTAGTAAGTTGTTTTACCCTATACACTTTACCAAAAATAAATTGTTTTGTCTTTCTGTTCTTTAAACGTGAAATGTTGGGTGGTGGTGGGTATTTGCTTTTTGTTTTTCCCTCTGAAGCTCTAGAACAATATTTTTAATCTATCATACTGGTTTGTAACCCATCATTTCAGGCTTCTTTTAATGTGGCTTGTTAAGCATTATGTGAAAAAGCAAACAATGACTTAATAGCAATAACAGTAGTACTTAAACTTATATATTGCTTTATAGTGCTCTACATTCCTCTCTGAGTGGTTTACATATCTGGGTCCTCATTTTACCAACCCCGAAAGGATGGAAGGCTAAATCAATATTGAGCCAGTGAGATTTGAACTGCTGACAGCTGGCAGTCAACAGAAGTAGCCTACAGTACTGCATTCTAACTACTGCGCCACCACTATTTTCTTATTGTGTAATTTATAGCAATAGCAATAGCAATAGCAGTTAGACTTATATACCATTTCATAGGCCTTTCAGCCCTCTCTAAGCGGTTTACAGAGAGTCAGCATATTGCCCCCAACAATCTGGGTCCTCATTTTACCCACCTCGGAAGGATGGAAGGCTGAGTCAACCCTGAGCCGGTGAGATTTGAACCGCTGACCTGCTGATCTAGCAGTAGCCTGCAGTGCTGCATTTAACCACTGCGCCACCTTGGCTCTTAAAGCCCATATTCCCATCCTGTCTGGTCAAAGTCACTAACAACAAAAATACAAATGATAAAAAACAAAATAAGAAACAACAAAATTAAAAACATAGGTAAAATTAAAGTATCACTGAGTTCAATTAACATTTGAAATGTGCTAATTCCTGTCAGCAACCATAATCTTGCTGTCAGTCCACCAAACAATTTATCTTAAATTTATCTTAAATTTAGTAGTAGTAATAGTATAGTAGTTAGACTTATATACCATTTCATAGGGCTTTCAGCCCTCTCTAAGCGGTTTACAGAGTCAGCATATTGCCCCCAACAATCCGGGTCCTCATTTTACTCACCTCGGAGGAATGGAAGGCTGAGTCAACCCTGAGCCGGTGAGATTTGAACAGCTGAACTGCAGAACTGCAGTCAGCTGAAGTAGCCTGCAGTGTTGCATTTAACTACTGCGCCACCTCGGCTCTTTAATTTATCTTGAAGGGGTTTTGGAGGTGAGCTTTTCTTTTCTTAGATGTTATATTTTTCATGAAAGAAAAGCAGGAAGCACCATTCGTTATTCCACTTCAGGCTATAAAATGTATCTGGAACTGATTGGATCTTGTCCACCCATGCGCATGCTTCAATCATATTCTTTTGACAATCCACACACAGTGGCACAGGAGCACAGCTGTCTTGGAGCTGCAAATAGTAATATATCCAGCACCCTAATAGCCCAGACCTATTACACAGCAGAAAGTAGCCCACATAGGGCAGATAGTACCATTGGTCTCTTACTCTCCAATTTCAAACTGAAACTTGATCACTGGGAGAATGGGATGCTCATTAGATCACCAGACACCACTATCTCACAAGGCTCTATGTGTTAGGTATTGATCAGGAAGATTGCCATATCCATACCCATTTCAATTGTTAGGACTAGCTGCTGTGATCCATTTAAGTTAGCAGCTTTGGCAGCAAGGCAGAAGTAGCCTTGTATTGCTTTAAAGGAACTTATTGTCCTATTGTTCATTATAGGCACAGGATGAGTTGGGCTGTGGCTACAGAAAGGGATAGGAAGGAGGGGGAGTCACTAACCAAGCACTTGAATTGCTTACTTGAATTTCAATAGGAAGACTGTATGAAGTACATTACTGAATTCCAGAGGTTTTTTTAAAAAAAAAATTGGGATTCCCATTCCTCTCCAAAACCTCTCCAAAACATAAACACCTGGCGTGCATCTATCTAACCACTGATACCCTAAGACCCAAAACATATTAAACATGGCCCCAATCACTAAATGGATGCCCATCTGATGCAACATTTAATGCATATGTTTAATGTTGTCTTCTTTCCTAATAGTATATCAATTGGCCATATTATCTCTGTATTATTCCTGGAGAGCATCTAGATTGGGGACATAGTTTTAGTATGGAAAAAAAGAGAAGCAACTGCACAATTCCTTGCATTTCTCAAGATGTCATAGAATTGTCTCAGAGAAATCAATTTTAGTCTGAAGGAGGTTTTATGTGACACAGAAAACTATATAATAACTTTGAAGGCCATCAAACTTCCTAAGTATTAATCACTTTAAGAATTTGTTAGCATGAACAAGAATAAAGGTACTATTTGTCTATCCTTTGCCACTCTACATAATTCTTCTGGGCATGATGATTAGATTAGAAGACACTTCAAGGTTTCAACTAAAAAAAACCCCATTAAGTTACAAAGGCACTTATTTTTAGAAACTTGTTTTAAAAAAACTTGGGTAGGACAATTTGTCAGAGCTGCAAAACTGCCACAGAATACATATTTGAACAATTTATACTAAACACTCCACCAATTCTCACTTGCTTAGTGCATCATATAGAGCTCTTACAGCTTTCAGAAGCAAACTTCATGCAAATTATTTCATAGTTAAAATTTATTTACTTTATCATGCATTTTCTATTAATCAACAAATTTTCCTCACATCCAATTCATTTCTCAGGGACTTGCTGAAGGGCAAAAAGTATGGTTTATATTAGCAGTCCCAGCAGTGGGGAGAGAGGATGTTTCTGTGCTCGCAGCAAGCATGCTGCCTGCTGCTAGCGGAAGTGGAACTGTACTCCTATCTAATATCTAGTTTGGTTCTGCATTACAGTGCTGGATTGATACTGCCCCAGACATCTTGTGGTGATGTTCTGGAAATCTTTAAATCTTTAGCTCTTCTCCCAGGTCTTAGGACAGAGTGCTTTTGGAGCCCTGTACTGATTTTGTTCTCTTACCTGTACTAAATGAGTATTTTGCAGAAGCAAGAAGACTTTGAGATGAATGCCATTTACTTACCTCCTGTAACGACGATATTGGCTTTTACACAATACGTGAAAGTGTTAACACCTCTCGGGATTGAAAATTCCCGGACAGGTCTGTAATTGTAACAAGACATTTGATCATACATACAGCTAAGTATCAGTTATTTTTGCCTAAATCCATAGTAGATCCAGAGTGGTCGACACCTAGAATGCTCTACCTGACTCCATTGTTACATCCTCAAACCCTCACAGCTTCAACCTTAAACTGTCTACCATGGATCTCATCTCATTCCTAAGAGATCTGTAAAAGGGGAATAAGTGCACCAGCGTGCCACCGTCTTTGTCCTATGGTCCCCATTTATTTATATTCATTTTCTTTGTTCAGGTCCATGTTCATACTTGTACCTGTTATCTTGTACATGTTTGAAAACTAATAAATACATAAATAGTTATATGATGGTAGTCCTGGGAAACTGATTTCAGAGTCTAAATATATAGAAGACTTTGTGCTAGGACTCGAATTTCTATCAGAGACGCAACCAACAACATCACTTGTATGGTATTTCAAACAAAAAGTCACTGAAGGTAAGAGTTTTCAATATCACCAGAAACACAGGCAAAATTATAATGAGCAGAAAGGAAATAATCCATGGATGTTTGTATTTTTTAAATCAAGCCAGAACCAATTGTAAACACTACCTGGTGAAATGATCAGCTATATGAACAATCTCTTTGTTGGGTTTTGGATAATTAAAATGCATATTTTCAGTGCACTGTTTGAGTTGGGTGCTTTATAAAAACACAAATAAACAAACTTACAAATTGTCTTCAATTCTTTTCAGGTCATCCAAAACCAATGAATGAATGCTATCCAATGAACAGGATCCAAAACAATTCAAAGCTGGAATGTATTTTACTTTTAAAACCCAGTCATCATGCAGTTTACGTCTAACGCTAGAGGTGATAAAAATGAAACATTAATTTAAAAGGCACATCTGGTTATAGATCTGAAAATGAATTTAATGTTGCACACTGGTCCTCAAGGAGCTTAGTTTCCAAACTCAACCACTTTAGTAACCCTCCTCTGAACAAACTCCAAATTGTCACAGTGCTTTTTGAAATGTGGTGCCCAAGACTGACACAATATTCCAAGTGTGGCTTGACCAGGGCAGAGTAGAATGGAACATTTACTTTCTGGATCTGGTATTTGAGTTGGACCTAGCATTTGCTTCTTTGCAACTGCATTACACTGCTGATAGACAAAAAGACACCAGGACCTTTTTTATATGTACCATGCCAAAAGTTATAATCTCTCTTCAACTTCTCTTATCCCAGTCATTGAGAAAAAATTCTCACTGAATTCTGAATTCATTTTTCCATCCAAGCAAAGTGGAGCCATCAATATTATTTGGGTCAGTCAACTGTGAATCTATTTTTGTATGAACAAACAGAAAACATGACTTTGGTAGCAGAGATCAATGGAATAGATAGATAGATAGATAGATAGATAGATAGATAGATAGAGAGAGAGAGAGAGAGAGAGAGAT